TGTTTTAGTTTTCTGTTTTTTGCTGCTGAGGTGTTTGCAAGATGCTGCCAACCAATCCCTTTGGTAGGCTAATGGCTATTCAGCCAGTAACCATCCATAGCTCTCTGCAGGTATTGGACTAGGCAAGGGAGTTTTCCCTTGAAGTCAAAGAGAGTAATTGCCTGCCTACTGGTGGCAGGATTTGTCTTGCTCAACAGGCCAACCTATCTGCAGCTGAGGCAGTAAATCTTGCAGCCCTGAAGTCCTTGTGGTAGCGGACACCCTGCAAGCTCTATGGGCAGTGGCTCTGGTGAGAGTATTTCTGTGGCTGCCTGCTGGCTGCCTGCCATGTTCCTTTGTAGCCAATGGCCAAGTACAGTGGAGGGTCCCCTTGAGCTGGTACAGAGAGGAAAGAATCCCTCCTTCAAATAAAAATGTTTAAATGGAATCAAGGTAATGGAGTGGCTGCCTGCAGGCTGGCTGCCATGTTCCTTTGTAGCCAATGGCCAAGTACAGTGGAGGGTCCCCTTGAGCTGGTACAGAGAGGAAAGAATCCCTCCTTCAAATAAAAATGTTTAAATGGAATCAAGGTAATGGAGAATGAGATTTCACTGTCGCATTGCTTGGAATAGAAAAATCCATGCACATTGGTAGTTTTCCCCAGTCAAGTACCCCTTTGTGTGTCCCCTTTTTGGGCATCTGCAGAGTAGATTGCAACGGGTACCAGTGGCTTGAAAATTGAAAACCTTTAATTTTCACTTAAATTACAGGTCAAATCTGTGTCATGCATCACCGCCCTTCACAGTAAATCACATGTAAAACGAAGTTATTTCCCATTTAAATGACAAAAGAATTCTTGGACTACATGGTAGCTTTTTCCCATGGTAGCTGAAGAGAAGAAAAACTAATAAATAATTAAGGGTGTAATACGTTTGACCACTTAGTTTTTTTAGTATGACTTTTTTTCTGTTATTATTGTAATAGAAATGTTCCTTTCAAAGACAACTAAAGCACTAATGATAGCTAAGAAGGTCATTCTTAGGAGGTTAAACTGGTTTAATTAGAATTTATGAAAAGGTTACTGTAAAAGTGCAGAAAGATGTTAAGGGGTTAACCTATAAGAGATTACATTGTAGTCAGTGTTCTGTTAAAGTTTGAATTAATTTTTCCCATGGGTTTTTCACATTCTAATTTTCAACTAAATGAGACATCTGTTTCAGAAAAGGAAAATTTGCTATGGTTGTCATAGCAACTATCATTCTGTAAGAAAATTATTCCAATGGTTACTTTAGAACAGAAAGATAGAAAATCAGTACATAAAGCAACATCCGATTGCTAATACAAAATTCTGATTTTCAGCTTTTTTTGTAGGGTAGATTATGTGACCCGCACAACTTGTTCGTATGTTTTTAACATAAGGTAAATTGGGCTGTAAACACATTCACTTCCAATATATTTTCCCCCTAGAGTATTACATGTAGACTGTCATTATTCTTACCATAATAATAATAATACCACTGAATTTCAGTAATATGTGGAGAGACTCAAACTGTTTGCTTTAAGAAGGAAAGACCTAAATAAAAAGTATGTTTCTACATGAGTGTTTCACTTCAGAGGTGAAATACATTCATGGTGTATGTCTTTAATTGCCAAATACGTTTCTTGGTGTTTTTTGAAAACAGCAGATTTTTCACTAATAGAACATACTTGACAGTATTTTTTTTTTTGTTAGATATTATTGAAAAGTAATTTAGAAAAATTTACAGTTCTTCTGAGTAAGCTGTAATGTGGGATCCAGAAATTCAGTGCTCGATACGAAGCCTTTAACTTTGCTTTCAGGTTCCATCCTAAATGGAAATCTTAGACAAAGTTGTCTTTGCACAATAATCAGGTCACAGACTTGTACTGGGTAGTAGAGAAGATATTTTTTCCCTACTCAGAAACTTTGATGGCTGTTTTGCAATAAATTTTCAGGAGAAAGGTCTTTGGGATTTGTAAAATCCCCACGTGCACGTAAAGATGGTTTTGCACTGGCAGTGAGGGCACTGGAGTGTATGATTTGTCTTTCTTCTCTCAGATGTAAAGCACACCAACATCCTCTGCTGAATCCTTTCTTGGACTTCAGATTAATTTCTGTATTGGGTTTGTTCGTTGTTTTGGGGTTTTTTTAGCCAGAAATATTCCAGACATTTCTTTCGATCTGGGGTTGTCACAAAAGACAGCATAATGGCAAATCACACAAGTTGTAACATCTCCCCGTCACAAAAGAACAGCTCCAGCATGAATAACTTACCAGCCCCGCGCTCGGGCGACGCGCTGCAGTCCCCACAAAGGGAGGGAGAGAGAGAGGGATGGGGAAAGTGCTTCTTGTCTTAATAAGCAGATCATGCCTATTCATAAGGGGAATCGGGCTGTTTGTGGCCGTGTACAGGCTAGCCCTAGCAGGGGCAGGCAGAGCCTCTCACAGCTGCAAAAGCCATTTGTGGTCAGTTGGATTTCAG